TTATTCGAGAGGTGCTGAAACAGCATGTTCTGCTAACTGGCTAGCTACCTATGATCTTCTGACTCTACTCACTAGCTATTTATTTAGCTTTTGAAACATCTGGGGGGGGGGGGGAATCCCTTTTTGAGTGGGAATCCAAAAACAACAAATGGAAGACTTCAGCCCTTAGACCCTCACAACACAACTTCGACAGATTACAGATCACAGACAGAGTAATACAGACCACAAGCGTAGTCATTTTCAGTAATGCTAATTGGACAATAGAAGACGGTACACAGTCAGTGCGGCGCTCAACAACACGTGTGATCCATCCTGTAGGGGTGCTGCATTCGCCCTCCGACATCGACAAGCATACAGGCCCACGGAGTCCTTCGGCGTGTACTGTGTCTTAACATTGATTTTTGGGGTGTTGAGCCCTGGAGCAAAGGCAGCTGCGGTGTTCAGCAGCGTGGAAAGCAGGGGCTGTGTGTGGTGGACGTGGTACTGCCTCGCGGGGGGGGGTCAGCCATGTTTACACGTGTACCTCTGCGCTGTGAGATCCTGCCTCGTATGTAATGCAACTGTGTCCTTGAAAGTTATAATTAAGCTTTGTTTCTATAATATTTTATCAAAATTGCACATAAACAGTATAATCCACATATAATACTCATCAGAAGTAGGCAGTACTCAACATTTAATGTTTTATGGCTTGTATTTTTACATATCGCACACCATGTGCCTCACATGCAAAATATCGGTATCTCTCCGATTAAACACCCTTGAGTGTGTTATCTAATTGCACTACATGGGAAATGTCATTTCCAAGTTGACCTATAATTTTGTCCAGGAGCACATATAACGCAAATTTCAAAGTGCTACAAAATCGGCCTAGTAGCGCATGGGGAGACTTAAATGATGTTTTACTGGCCTCTGCTGGCAGAACATAGAATTACAACCTGTGAATGCTAAGTTGTCATCCTGTTTTAGTGAATATAATAGTTACGTAAATGAGTGATAAAGTATCTAAAGTCTATATCTAATAAGTATATATAAAATATGCTATATAATTATTAGATATCTTACTAGGGGCGGCACAGTGGTTAGTCCTGTCGCCTCCCCCTCTGGGACCAGGGATCGAGTCTCTGTGTCTGGAGTTTGCATGCTTTCCCTGTGTCATTGTGGGGTTTCCTGCAGGCACTCTGGTTTCCCTCCACAGTTCCCAAATCACCTATAGGTGTGAAAGGTGCGTGACTCACCGCCTGCTCCTGACAGATCTGCGTCAGCCTCTCCAGGTGATCTTCCCGAACCGCCTTGGCCTTCTCATACTGCTGGATCTCCAGCTCCATCTCCACCTTCACCTGGAGGACGTAGGCTGTGGCAGAGCAGAGCGGCACAGGTCACCATCCAGTGCCAATGACATATTTCTCCACAAGGAGCGCTGACAGCCAGGATGTGCCAAGATCAGCACAAATGACATGTCCAGTCATGAATGCCCCAAAACTAAATTCTAGCAATGAAATATCTGCCCTATATTTGTTATCTTGTGTGTGACCTTCACACCAGGCATGCAGTGTTTGAGGATCACACAGAGCTTGCCTGAAAAGTAAAGCACAGAAATTCATTTAAAGTTGCTGTTTCTTGAGCTGATCCTGGAAAAACCTATTCAAGGTCATTACAGCGGAGAGGTTCTTGCTAATTTACAGCTTTGGAAAAAATTAGGAGACCAGAGCAAAATTTTCAATTTCACTCATTTCTCAATTTATGGTTATGCGCCTGTGTAAAACACACATTTTTTTTAAAACTCCAGCCTGGCTCTTCCCTGCCTCTCATTGATGAAGGGCTTCTTCCTTGCTTTATGGGTCTTCAGTCCTGCTTCTAGGAGCCTGTTATAAATTATTCTATCACTGCACCTCACACCACTTAATGTTTCCCATTTTTTTTGAAGGTTCCTTCAAAAAGAATGATACAGATGTCATTCTCTGATTCATGAAAAACTGTCAGATAAGTTGGCGGTCGTCTCTGGCATTAGAAAGTCACTTCTGCCGTCTACCTGGCTGGTTTTTGGTCTCTCCCAGTGTCTCCTGCTTCACCTTGTTCTTGTGTACTGCTGTCTTTCTTACTTTGAGATTGGAAGCAGCCTGCCTCGCAGTGTAGCTTTCTGCCAGCAGAAGCAGGATTAAACCAGGATGTAACAACTCAGAATCTTAAAAACTATGGAGTGGTCTCTTAAATTTTCCAGAGCTGTAGATATATGGGTGCAGCTGGAGTGATCCCACATGGCTGAGTTAGAGTTACAAGTTTGCTCCTGATCTAACGCTCTGTGCAGAAAAGCTGCCTGTATCTATTGGAAGAGAGACACACTGGGTACTATGCATCATTCACGTCTGCATAACATATCAATCAAATGCGAGTGAAGTTTGCCAAACGTTGATGCGTTTATTATGTTTCTAACCATAGTAATGCAGGACCGACATCTGAATTAAGTTTCTGACTTTCTCTGAAAAATTTGCTTCACACTGACATAAAATGCATAATTTCCTCCATTAAGGATGTTTAAGTGGCAGACGGTGGAGCAGCTACTGGCTACAGCCCTGGAGACTCAACACGAGGTCCCAGCAGATCACTGGGTCACGCTGGGGCTCTAGCTACTGTGACAGGAGCATTTCCAGACATTTACTCGCACAGCCCATTAAAACAGATAGGATGTGGTGGGGAGGCGCCACCATATTCTACCACCTGAGGGCGTGGTAGAGTACTGGTTTTGCGCACGGCATTTTCATCTGCATTAAAACAGACGCACGAGGGGACATGTTGCCCAGCACATTACTTTGCGGGTGACAAAGATAATGGGGAGAAACAGCTGATCACATGACAGCTTCACATCACAGGAACTGACTGTAATATATTCCCACATCCCAGGTGCTCTATTAATCTTATCAGGTGTGACAGCTCCTATTGCTGTGGTTAGCTTATTACTATAATACTGATACAGCTTTGGATAGACAGCTGGTACTCTGGCATTCAGCTGCAGCCCAGCAGTAAAATCCGGGGATATTAACCTGGTTTAAAGGGAGCTACGTTAGAAATTCAAATCGGTCCGCTGGCTTTTGTGGGCTTAGGATGCCTTGGTTAGCTGTTTAAATATGAGATCCGGACACATGGCAAATTTTGGCTCAGTGGGCTTGACGGCTTAGAGGTGGAGGTTTCAGAAGCCTGTGTAGATGATCATCCAGGGTGTGACACTGCTGGGAACCAGGTGCCTTTAACAACATAAAGCACTGCACCAGTTGACTGGCGGAGGTCGTCCTCATGGCGCCCCCTGGCTCTCACCGTCGATGATGCGCTTCACCCTCCAGATGCGCAGCGTGATGATGAGGCTGATGGCATCCCATGGGCTGCTGGGTCCGTTAGCGACAGTGGAGGCCACCATTGGGGCCAAGGAGAGAACGATGACGGCGCCATCGAACACCTGCGTGCGAGAAAAACGCGTCCGTGACGCGTCCTGACGGCGGACAACCCGCAAGGCAGCATCTTAAACATACGGCCAGCATCACTTTGAATGTTCCTCCCTGCCTACACGTAGTTGGGGACAGAGTTCCTCATGTGTTATAACTACCACTGGCTCCTGTCAATTTATCTGGGACTCATCTCGTATATTGTGAACAGTTAAACACTAGATCTGCTTGTAGACTTAAACATTATTTTATTCAGTTTATTTTTATACAGCGCCTTTCAAAATACTGTTGCTCTAAGTAACTTGACAAGAATATGTGGCTGTCCATTACTACATCATGTTAAATGTTTAAAAAGTGACTCAGCTAAAAGTGCACTCCCAAGACGCAGATTTCATTCAATACTGCGGTGCCTCCCCAGTAAAGGCTGTGATACACCTCAGTGCTGCAGGCGCTCTGGGGTGTGCGAGCCCCCAGTCACTCCAATACCCCTGGCAGCATCAGTCCCAGGGGATCCCGAGGTTCTCACCTCAACTTTGTTCTCGATGTAATCCCAGATGCCCAAGACCACGATGCGGAACACAGTCTGAGAGCGAGAGATACACACAGACACAGGAAACACTTTCAAAGACACGCTGACGTTCCATCTGCGCAATTCATCAGCTAAGAAATCTGTTCAACAATCACACGACATTCGCCAGAAGTGACACACCCCACTGGTGATATCTGTCTAGCCCTGGTGATCCATACCTCGGTGAAGAAGATGGAGAGGATACCGAGGCTGATCCAGTGGATGATGCTGGCAAACTGGGAGGCATTGGCAACTGGAAAACAGGGAGTGTGGTGTTAACAAGCACCAATGATAACCAGCAATCAACAGCTCTGCTCAGTGGCTTACAGGCCATTCACGCTTCACGGAATAATGCTAAAGCATTACAGGATGCTAACAAATATAATTCAAGGCCACAAAGAGACCTTTTTCTTAGGTAACATCAGAGGGGGAAAGTTCAGGTCCAGAAAGTACAAATCCGAACCAAGTTTTCATTTCAACCAACCAATTGAGTACTTTATGCTTAACTGGTTGGTTAAAGGAAAATCTTAGTCTGGATTTGCACTTTCTGTCCCTGAACTTTCCATGTCTGGGTAACATACATACAAGACTGATGCCTACAAGTCTGTATGTACTGACACTGAAAATGTTTGCAATCATCTCCATTATTTCAGTAGTTGTATCTTTATCTCTGGTTCTTCTAACTTTGACTATTGCCAAAGTTTAAATATTGGATGTCAATATTGACCAAAACTGATACATCGGACTCATGCAAATATCTTGTGTTTTAACGAAAATCGGCCGATTCTAATATTAACCAATATATTGTGCATTTCTAACTGATGAGGATGAGGTCTGTAGGTACTCACACTGAAGAAGTTTGGTGTCTATGAGGAGCTCCAAGGCGAGGAAGAGCACGACTAGAATCACACAGGCCACCAGAAAGCAGTTGAAGCCTGCACTCAGTACACAGACTTGCCAGAGTGCCACTCGCCGTCCACAACATGGCTTCAACCAGTTAGATCTGGAGTTAGAGTAAAAATCGCACACAGCACATAAGACAGAGGGCTAAACATCCACCACAATCCTGTAATAAAACATTTCCAAGACAAATAATGTACAATGTGTGACAGCCATGGGCGTAAATTACGGGGGGGATGGGGGGGTTGTAGCCCCCCCAATAAATCAAAACCAGCTAATACAACCCCCCCAATAATCATGTTTCCCCCGTAATGGGTGGAGACCTCAACCCCCCCAATGTTCCAGCCAAAGTTACGCCCTTGGTGAGAGCAAATACATAAAAGCTAATCTCAACGTGGCTGGCTCGCACTTTTGCAGCAAGTATAAATAATTTGAAAAGATAATAACGATATACATGGAATCAGGGGAGTTTCTAGCTATTGAAAAGATCAGGGGCTAAGTCAAGTTTACCTGGGGCTCGACTTTTTTGTTTTTGAGGGAAGATTGGCATCGGGGCTAAAATACTCGAGGCTGGACTTAAAATACTCCGACCTAACGACGCCCATGCACTGAATTATAAAATTGCAATATTTGGTATTTTTTTTAAGCGTATAAAATACGAAATGACGATCCCTATATGAGTCGGAAGAGGGCGGTGTACTACACACAGTATGGTAGCCTAAGAAAAGAACGTGAAGAGAAACAGAGCTTCAAGATAAAATGGATGAGAGATAAAGCACATTTACGATAAAAGAAAGATGAAAAAATTATTTACAGCGTCACACAGCCAAGGTCCGCAAAACCTTGAAAAATACACACGAAAACATACGAACAGGTCTTAATTGTGCTACCCTGTCCTGGAATACTGATTTCTTATATAAAAGAAAATGCACATAACGCAGCATACACATAATCCAAGGATTCGGTCCTAACTTTTATCTTACCTGATTTTTTATTTATGTTCAAATACTTTTTAAATGTCGAGTTTTGTGTCGAATTGCAGATCCTGATCCATAGAAGAATTCCTGCCTATCCCACTTTCGTCTTTCCATGCCATTTGTAATTGCTTTGATCATCCCCAGTCTCAGACAGTCTGACCACCCCTGGTGCATTATGGGTGGAAAATGCTGTCCCTACCCAAGACTCGCCGCGGAGCCCGACAGCAGGTGCCCCGCGCCCTCGCTGTCACCCGACGCGCTTTGCAGTGCTAATAAGCCTCAATGATCCCTCGCCCGTTTCCAAATAACGCGGCCGATTTGTTCAAAAGCGCAGAAGGAGCGAAAGTGACTTTATGATGCTCCCCGGCTCTTCAAAAATGCAGCCGCCGACGCAAACGTAGGAGGAGCTGGTGCTTTTTGAAACCGAACTCCTCATATCAAATTTATAGCGGAGCTTCCCGCCCCAAACGAATCTCCTAGCTGCGTTACTATTTAATGCATCGCCTGCTATCGACCCTTCAGCTGCTTGTTCGTTAATTCAACTTGCGATCTCAAGCTGCTTAGATTTTTTAACAATGACTTAGCTGACTTTAACCAGCAGGACTTTGAACAGTGTTTAACATTAAGTAAAAAGAATAATACAATTACCTAATTTAATTAGCCTGATTAAGCTCATATTTGCCGTGCCTTACGATGCCTTTAGGTAGGACGCATATAATTATTTTTAAAAGTGGGACGTACAGCTGCTTTGGCAGACTAATTAGCCTGCGTCCTTAAAGATAATCTAATGGATTTGACGTCGTATGTCTGCTGTAACTGAGCCAGCCGCTGCTCTTCGGGCACGGTGATCTATAACACAACTTTTCATTACAATCAGAGCTGACTGTGGACCTTAAACAATCTTTCTCCCGTCACTTTCACTGCCAGAGGTTACGCAGATTTACAATTGGAAACAATGGGATATTTATTGCTTTAATTAAGTCTACGATTTTAATAAGAGTACAGCTGTGATCTGTGAAGTGCCTTGGTAGCCTCCAGAGCATTAAATTATTAACAGGCACCTACAGTATTTAATTTGATAGCTTTTACTTGCTCTGTCGTATTTGACCAGTATACTGCTAACCTTTGGTATGTCTCAGTAAAGCTATGTTAATGCACATTAGGCGCTACCACCTGATTAAGAAATCATGGGCCCCTGGGCACGACCCTTTTGAGGGCCCTCCCCAGGTAACTAAAGGGGCCTTAGGACTCCATAAACCACAGTTGGCCAAAAGTGGTGTAGTATATAAGGCAGCCCTGGGCCTCATTAAATAACAGGCACTGCCATAGCTACGGGATGACACAAGGAGAGGGACATCATTTGGGACCCCCAGTGGGCCCAAGTTGTAATCCACCCATGACGGTCACCTGCTAGGTCGATGTCGCTGTGTGTACGGGGTGCAGAGCTGGTGGGGAGCTTCCCCGTCCTGTGTTTGCGCTCTGCGCCATGTGTCGATGACAGGGTCGTGAGGAGCTCGCGGAGAGCGCCATCTCTGATTGCAGAGTGGGGCATTTGGGTTTTCAAATGCTGTTAAAAACGGGGGGGGGGGGGCAGACTAGGGCTCGATTCCCATAGTAAGAGTTTATGCAGTAATGACAGGGGACCAGATGTGACCTCACACTCACTCACATGTATAGATACTGATATACTCTCTCTCTCCCTTTCTCTCTCACACATGCACACACTTTTTAAAAATTGCTGCTTTACCCTTTTTCAGGGAGCTGCACACACACTAATCAAGGACAAAAGCCAGTGGCCTGTAAACGATGTCAGAGTAATCAAATAAAAGCATAATCATGCTGTTAGCAATCATTTTCCTGGCTGAGGCTGCGGAGGGAGCCATACTCTCCAGATGGCGCTGGCCCGGTTCAGGCACGACGCTCTGGGTGTCAGTGGGCGGGGTTAAGGCTGCGAGGTGCCCTGGGAACGAGAGGAGCAGACAGGAAGCGGACCCTGCGACTCAGAACCGGGCTTGGAAACGGCGACAGCTGGACGGCCGGTATGAGTGGAGGGAGTAGGACCTCGGCATGAGCACCCGGCGCGGCAGAGTGTAAATGGCTTTAAAGCGTGATTCCCAAGTGGAACAGTGTGCCTCTGCTATTCACATTTTAGTATTTATGTATTTTTTTTTGTAATTTTACATGAAAGAAGCAAATACAAAATGATGATCACGGGAATAATAAATAGAATGTAGAATTGTTACTGGTTGTAGAATTGAGCAGATGAATTAGGAAATATACTTCAGGATCAGTCACTCCTGGAATTTTAAAAACCAGAAACAGGTAAGTGATTTATATTGGCCTCAGTCTGTGACCATTTCAGCACCATGGACAGCTACTGACTCCACGTCACGTATAAACATCTACTAATTTAGCATAATACTTAGACCAGCAGTTGGTTTCCATTGAATGGTTTGTATGACATTGCCTAATGATCAATGCCACCCTAATTACATAAGCGAGAGCGGAAAACTGACGGGTCATTGAGTTGACAATTTTTCAACATAATTAACAAGGTCTTTCCTAGTTGCTGTCAGCACTCCAGGCCTTACAGAGTGGTGCACTGACAAGGATATATTAACGTTAAATTTTCTTTTTAATGCGAGATAAGTGGAGATGCAGAGCTGACAGGAGGGTCCCTACTCATAGACCCAGCCGTTGTTTTCTAGAGGGCACAACATAAACTGAGAGCAGATAGGAAGCAGTTCCTCTGTCCCGCTCTACTCATAGATCCAGCCGTTGTTTTCTAGAGGGTACAACATAAACTGAGAGCAGATAGGAAGCAGTTCCTCTGTCCCGCTGCATACAAGCAACAATGACACAGTAACTGCATTTGTAACTGGAAGTTCTGAAGCTTCTCCCAGACATTCTTCCACAGTGTAATTAAAGCTCACAAATAATTGGTGCACCCTAAATATTGATATAACCAGCTCAAAAAGTGTGAGGATATTTGGCATTTTTTCATTATGACTATGAATGCAATTAGTAGATAACAGTAGGAATCTAGTTTGAAAAAATGTGCGTGATGTGAGATTGAAGGGTGGGAACTGGGGAGCACATGGTGGTAATGAGCCATCGCTGGGAGATGTGCTGTTCCCAGTGCTGCAGATGGAGAGATGGTAACTGATTATTTTTTGGTTGTTTAACACTAATGGGGTCAGATCACCTCCTGGTTGTTCCACACACAGTGATAGTTTTGTTATCTGGGAGCTCGGAGCTCACGTCTAGGCGTGTTGGAAGATCTGGACCGGTCACGATTGTCAAAACAGGGTCATGGGGAGCAGGTCAGAAGGCCGGACGACGTCCCGGACATCACGCCATCCATCGTCAATCACAAACACACACACAGACACGGAGAGGACACAGCAACTCCACACACACACAGAGGACACACTCAGCAGACACACAAACTCCACACACACAGACACAGAGAGGACACACCAACTCCACACACACTCAGCGGACACACAAACTCCACACACACAGACACAGAGAGGACACACCAACTCCACACACACACAGCGGACACACAAACTCCACACACACAGACACAGAGAGGACACACAAACTCCACACACACAGACACAGAGAGGACACACAAACTCCACACACACAGA